AGTCAGTGTGTGGCATCAAACCAGAAGCAACAGCTTCAAGTTTCAAAAGCAACTTATCACAGTTTGAACAGATTGGCAGGTCTACTGTGGCCCAAAAGCTCAGCCAAGCAAATGTAGAGAAAGATAGTGATGTGTTGGCACAATGTGTGAGCATTAGAAACTATTTTTAATCCTACAATATGTACTAAATGAATGAATAGCTCTTATTGGCACATGGGCCACTGTGTTTGACTGCCTTATGCTGTCTTAAATACACTCAGGGGAGCTAGTCACAGCTCCAAAATGAAATACGATCTACAATACTAAAGTCAAGCTATTATCCAACAAATAAAATGTAAAAGAATAGAAGGGGTTGCAAACCTTCAAATGGTTAAGTGGCTGAAGTGGCTGCCTTAGGTCATGTGACACTCTTGGACCCAGAGATAAAGCACACATGCGTTATGGACACAGAAGCCAGACAAACTGTTTCAGCATGTGCACTGAATGAACAGCTTTAATTCGAGCAGACAGGGAGTTCACTGGCGCGAGTCTCAGCATCTAAAAAGCGAATGACATCCTGTCTTGTTGTCTGTGAAGTTCAACTTCGAAATAACCTGCAGCTCTCCAGAGTTGCAGTTTAAAATCTCTCACCATGTCATTTTGTTGGCAAATTATGAAAATGCATTGATTTGTTTTTGCATAACTGCCAGAATAGTTCCTAGTCCTGGTGCCCCAACAAAGTTCAGCTTAACTTTGGTTGAAGAGGAAAACAAGCCTGGCAGTGAAAGGAAGTTAGAAACCCTGAGATAGTGTTAGAGAAATGAAGGAGATGAAGTATCTGTAACAGTGCTGTACCCTTAAGTGACAAAGCATAAGATAATACCAGTAACAGCATGCAGCTTTTGTCTGTCTATAATGCCATGGGAGGAGCAGCCAGCCAGCGGCTGGACACTTCAGACAGACACTGCTGTAAATGAAGCTGTAGAGTCGCACACAAACCGTGAAACTTTAGAATATATATGCAATATCCAGTGAAACATGCTTGTTTGCTAATGAAGGGAGTCACCTTTAAGAAAGATAACTGAGCAGACATTAAAGGCAGCCGACGGTGCAGGGCGATGCTCTTATACTGTGACAGTGGAAGGATCAGGACCATAAAACTTTATGGCTGAAGCATTTTATTCTCAAACTCACTCATCTTGGGAGCAAGTTAGTGCCTGCTGCTCAAGATTTAATATAAAGAGTAAGTTTTTTTTTCATTTTCATTAAGTTTCAATTTCATGCCAGTGTTTGTTTATCAGATTAAGAGTTGCACTTTTCAAATGGATTTTGGAACAAAACCCTTCCCAAAAAAATTTAAAAAGTCTGTATCAGTGCATTAATAGGATTTTAGGTTTTAATGAAATGCCTGTGGCTGCAGCTGATGATTTAGGTTAAGGATTAGTCCATTTGGAATCATTTTGTCTTAAAAAATAATGGCAAATGACCCAAATGGTTGAGTTTGACAGACCCAAAGATATTCACTTTACAGAATGAAAAAAAGCATGTTTACTTTTCGTACTTGATAAAATACCATTGGTCAATTGGTTTTTTCTGTTAGTTGACCTATAAACTCCATTTTTTCCATTATGGACCAAATATTTATTTTTATTTATTTAAGATTAGTTCTAACTAATCACCACTTTGTTCCTCAGTATGTTTTACTTGACAACAACATTTATTGGACTTTATGTGTGTTTTGTCCTGAGACCAGGTCAAGGAGATGGACATTAAAGAGTGTCAAATCATGGTCTCCTCTTCCTCAACCTGACATTATGTTCTGTTGATTTTCAGTCACAAGGTATGCTGTTCTGCTTTGGACCTTTAATGTGAAAGGAGCTATGAGATTACAGGCTGTGAGTGTGACTGTACATGCTCCTATTGTGTCCCTGTTACACTTCCATGTGAGGCTGATGATCTCATCTCATTTTCTATAACGCTTTGCCCCGAATGGGGTCACAGGGGGGCTGGAGCCAATCCCAGCCGGTATCGGGCGAAAGGCGGGGTGAGGCTGATGATCGTCTGTTGTATTTTTGACAGTAAGAGCAATTAAGACAATTGATTTTCAATTAAAATATTCCCTGATAATCCCCTACCTTTCTGTTTTTGGCTCGTTCTGCCTCTTGCAAACAAACAAACAAAAAAAAAACACAAGCTGGAGAGGTGCAAGGACATGGTGTAGATGTTTGTGGCTCATTTTAAGTTTGAGAATTTTAGTTTCCTTGCTGCACACAGTGCACTTATGAGTTTGTTCTTTTTATGTGTGAGAGAAAAACTTCTCTAGCCATAAGTTCAGGCCTTTAACAAAGGACACTTTGATCAAGTTGGAAGTTGGTCTCACTAACTGCTGTACCCAAGGTGCTTTGTGTTGTTCCAGTATCCCCCCCGGGTGAGGTCAACAGACTGGTCAGAACCTGTGGGTGGTGCAGAATAAGCTGAGAGATGCTTTGTGCTGCAGACAAAACAATACAAAAGCCTTGCCTATCTGGAAAGATGTCTGTGAGTGTTCTTTGTGCTGAAAGAGAAGAAAATGGCATTTAGATGAGATGCCTCACTCCTTGTAGAGCACTGTCTTTCTCTCTCTCTCTCACTCACACACACACACACACACACATCCTTGGTTCTGTCACTTACCGGGTCCCTACATAGACATTTTACACCATGTCGTCATAGAGTTATGTTGGAAGTTGAGCAAAGTGAAAGGGCTTTTTAATCCGCTTGTATTTCAGCTGCCTGCTTGTATTTAATGAGGCCATTACCCAACCCTGGATTGTGAAATGTCCGTGCCTTTACCTATTTGCATATAGCAAAATGAATAATCCTGTCAAACCTGAATAAACAAGACTCTAAAACTCCAAAGATACTGGCAGGAACAGAAGGCTACACCTTCCATTTCACCCCTGTCACAGCTGCAAGAATGTAGTCCCTTGAAAATCTCTGCCCTGCTTATGGTTTAACAGGCAGTGCGAGAAGCAGGTTGCACCAATAGGCCTACACTCATTTGTGACATGAGTATATTGGAATCATTTCTGCAGTCATATAGAGGTGCATGGGCATCTCTGAGTCTGCACTTCCTCTGTATGCTTGTTTGTATATTAATTGGTGATCAACCATAAATTTTCCCACTTTGCAATTTCTGTGATTTGTCAGTTTTATATTTGTATTCTTTTGTTTTGGTTTTGTTTTCCCACTTTGGCATCAAACCTGCCTGGAATCCCAACTTTTGCTTTATATCTTTTACATCATAGCTGTTGTTTAGACAGGAATGATCGTTGATTTGTCACGTATCCTGTACTTTAGTTATTTCATCAACCTGTCTCATTCATCAAAACCTTGATGTGAATATTTTAGTATTTGGTACATATTTGGTTAAAAATGGTTACAGCTCCTCAGCCTGACGGATTGTAATGTCTAATTTAGGTCAAATTGATTAATGAATAAACAGCCAATGAAAATTTCACAGCCTTGGGCAGCTCCTGTGTACTGTATGCTGAATTCTCCTAAAAACTGGTTCTCAGAGCTCTCAAGGTTTCTTAGTCATACCTAGTTAATGTTTATTAACTATCTACAATGCTAAAAGTATTAGCAACATGCAGAAGAGTTTCTAACTCTTTGAGTGTGACAGCCACGGCCCTTCTGTAATTCTTTGCATCACAATAGCAGCCTATAGGAGGTGGCATCCCAAATCTGACATTCGGTAACAAGATTTTTGAAAAGAAGAAAGAAAATCTCTTCTTCGTCTTGTCTCTGTCACAGTTTCTTTCAATTTCTCTGTGTATTGGATAGAAAGAGGGATGAGTCTTTTAGTCACCCGGCACTTCCTCCTCTTTGTTGTTCAAGGCGAGCTCTGTGGGAGGCAGGGGGCTGAGCGAAGGAGGG